GCCAAATCCGCCCTCATGAGTTATCATTTATGGGGAAATGTTTCCAAGGCGCAGCTGCAATCTACTGAAGTGCCAAGTGACTGAATGACTGGTTGACTTGTCTTTTATTAGTTAGAATTTATTATTAAATAATAAAATATTACACATTATAATAACCAACTCAGCTTCAACCGTTACCAAGATCACAACCTCCTTGATAATTTATTAACTAAAAAAGAAAGCAATAAGTCATTCAATTCAGCCACTTCAGCTGTAATCAAATGACCCCTTGTATAGGTTTTCTGAGACGTGCATACATATTTCAGTTTTATTTCATCATTTTTTTAACATTACACATCGTATCCCAATTCAAACTTCACATAAACTATTAAAATACCTCATTTATATGTTTATACTTTGTTTATAGTCCAGGCCTGGTTTTTAGTGTCATTTATGTATATTCTTGAGATTTCTAAATTTCCCTTAATTTTTTCACAGTATCTATACATTTTCAAATTGCCTCCATTAAAAGGCTCACCCTCGATGGCCAGAAAGCTTTCAGGTTCAGGTTGCGACTCATTTCCAGAGGTCCATCTCGAGTTGTGGAATGGAGACATCTCTATCTGCTACAAAAGAGCCCACATCAGTACGAACAATACATCCATCTTCCCGATTTGGCCATCTATAATTCCATTGTTCTCACAAATCCTTTGGATGGCATCACCACTTCGGCTTCTGAGACTAAGCATCATAATAAATCATTCCATATGTCCCCTAATTTATTGACAAGAAGCATGTCTCAGCTTCGCTAAAAAGACTGCATAATTTCAGATAAAAGAGGTGAGTATATAACCAAAAAATTCATCAAGGTTTCTATAAGCTTTGTTGTTACAGGAAGGGAATACATAGTAAATGGAAGAATGCAGCAAAATGCAACTCTGTTTCCAATAACTATTAACAGAATGCATAATACAACAAATATCCACATGAATGATATGCATACTCTCTCTTTTTCTTTTAGCTCGTTAAGACGGGACCAAGCCTCAAGAAAGCCTCGAAGCAATGATCTCAGCCTAATCTCATTTAGCCATTCAATAACAGACGATCTTCTCTATGAACTTACCTCTTGAATCGCCTTGGGTTTTTCCTTCTCTTACTGCATTTGTATATGGGATAGAACAATGGCTGGTCAGGGGAGATTTCAAAACCAATATAAGCCCAGTTACGTCCAGAATTATATTCATAAAAACACCACATTTCGCAAGTAATAAGATGATAGAGATTTAGATCTAAATGGTCTATAAAGAGAGCAATTTAGAGATACAAGATTTCACCAATAATTAGAGAATGGGAAATGGGAAAAACTAACTTGCACAATAGAAACAAGTGAATAACCATTTTTTGCTGCAAGTCAGAGAAGGCTCATGACCCAGATGGATTTAATGCATATTTCTACCAGGTGCATTGGGAAATTGTGGGGAGAGATGTAATAAAGGTGATTAGAGTTTCATAAGAAGTGGAAAATTGTTGAAGCTTGGAAGGAGGTCAATTCTACTTTATTGCTTTATATAAGAATCATGCAGCATACATAAACGGTTTTGAACCTATTTTGTTGTGTAGTGCTTTTCTATAAATTCATTTTGAGATTGGATTTGCTCCTCACAGAGTGAGATGTTCCTAATCAACGGCTGAAACGTGCTGTGAGGTCAGTGTGAGGCATGCTCTGTGAGGAGCAGATCCGAACTCATTCATTTCCAGGTGTCTACACGACAACCAGCTACTTGGTGAATCCAAGACAATCAGCAACCAATTATAGATAATATTTTGATTACTCAATAGCTTGTTCCAGCAAAAAATAAAACTCAACATATCACAGTTTTCATTTGAGTAGAGAAATGACAAGTGTTGCTTTAAAAGATTTATCTTTGTAAAGGTTGTGATTCAGTAAAGTTGTCCTTGTTTAGAGCGTAGTTTCCTTTAAAAATACTCTGGAAACACATAGTTTCCTTAAAAATGGATAAGATGGATTAAAGCTTGTTGGACCACCAAATGGTTTTCTGTTTCAGGGCCAGTGTGCCAACTGATGACTTCAAAGGGGGAAGATGTTAATCAGGGGGGCCTATATCTCAATATTATTTACCTTGGAGTGTTGGAAATGGAAATTTTATCAGTTGAAATTGAAGCTGTATGCCTGTATGCCATGGCAAGTTAAAAAAACAAGTGCTCCACTAACAGGTAAGAACTCAAGCCTTCTTCCTATATGTCCATCCCTCTGTATGTGAGCATGAGCCATGTCTTTCTACATGTACAGAACATAAAAACAGGATCTTATAAAGCAGCTGAATGGGATTGAACATGATGCAACATCCTGAAAATCGACCAACATGTTAAAACTTAAAACACCATGGATGGTGGCTTTGAAAACAATCTGGCTAAATTAGTATCCCTGCATCACTAAGAAGTGTTCTGTCATCATGTTTTCACATCAAATTTGGCCATGTTCCATCAGCCTTGAGATACTATATTTACAGCATTAGCAACAACAGTTACTTTGGCACCACGATGAATGCTGAGCATATCAACTGGACAAACCATATTTGCATGAGTTCCTTCAACACTGTATACTTAGCAGTGCTGTTAGCACTATTATATGGCATCAGTTTGGATAGGTGACATCTTAATGGGGAAGCTATGGTTATCTTTATTTTTGTTCTTTAGGCTTAGTTTGGAAGGAGTACAAATACAAATATGAACAGTATAAATCTATACAAAATATAAAGTTTTGCGCTCTACATATTTGTATTTGTACTCCTTCCAAATGGAGCCTCATTGTATTGTTAGTAAAACAAAATAGCTCCTAAGGCTGCATTTGTAAACAATGTAAATGGAGTGTAAATCCCAATTCAGGGTAAATTTGCACTCTTGTTCACTTTTGCTTGTGCTTGGCAACATTACATTTATGCATTGACAAATGACAAACCAATGCATATTTACATTGATAATAAGATGTAAAAGTACATCAATAAAAAAGAAGTAAATTTGCATTCAAGTGGGCTTTTGATAAAAAAAAAGGCATATGTTTTATTGAAATTCATATTTGCATCCATTACAGCTAAAAAGCCTGCTTGGTAAGAAGGTAAATTTGTCATTGCAAAACTAACCCAATTTTGCAATTTATATGAACCGTTTTACATTCTACATATTTGCATTCACATTTATTTGCATCGTTTCAAAATGCAGTCTAAAGGAATTTGTAGAACGCAAGAGGCATAAGTCTCTATAAGGTATAGACATCTCATCAACCGAACTTATCATATTGAAATCAGATAAGCAAAGACAACCTCCAAGGACACCAATGACCTCCTTGGAATGCATTGCTTTATCTATGGTATTATTATTTGAATTTTTTGCATTTTATTTATTATGCATCAATTACAATATTAAGGGCCCGTATGGTGTGTCTTTTTGGAAAATCTTCTGGTAGCTCTGACAGTCAAAAGACGCATTGATCTTTTGCATGAAGATCTGAGTAAGCCAACACATGTTTGGCACACACATGTCTTTTTGCGTGAGAATAAAATGCGAAAGACGCAAGAAGTTTCATTTGGAGCTTCCCGAAATCAGCCCAAAATGGGCTTTTCATGTCTTTTTGGCGTTCCGTTTTTTTGCAACTAGATCTTCTGCACGCCAAACGGAAATAGACAAAAAATCGGTCTTCCCGGCTTGTAAATAGCCAAAAGACCGCATAGAAAAGCATGCCAAATGCAGCCTAAAACCTCATTGAAGTTTGCTTTGGTTCAAATGATGTGCTTATAAGGTAATGAATCTCATTATGATGATATTATGATAATATGCTCTTTGCTCATACCACTGATTTAGGGGTGTTCATGGGTCGGGTTGGGTCGATTATAGGTTTTTTGCTCAACCGAACTAACCTGGCTGGTTTGATAAACAAGTAACCCAAAACCAATTGGTTATAAGCGAAAACCGACCTAAACATGAAGGGTCGGGCTGGTTTGTGGATGGTCAATTGGTCATTCTAGGTGATTTATTGATTTTCAATCTCATTTTCTTATTTTATATGGCTCTTATTGGCTGATTGGTTCATTGTGTGTTTGAGTCGAACACCTTCTTTTTCTAAGGGTTGTTCGTTTGCGCTGAAAAGGTTATTGGTATTGGTGAACTTTTCTTTCCTCTGAACTCTGAATGCAAAGAATGTTGTTCTGAATTCTAAATTTTGAAAATTATCAAATATCCATTTTGATTGAGAGCTTTTGCTTGTCTTTTATGGGGTATCATTGGAAAACAAAAAGTTATATGATTGCACTTTAAGAGATAAGAGGAAACGAACAACAAATTTTTGTCAAAAAATTCCTCTTAAGAGATAAGAGTTAAGAGGAACAAACCGACCCTAAATCATATAAGTTGCTGAGTGTTGTGTGTACTCTACTACCCCAAACCCAAAGATAGTTGCCATTTTTGGGTAAGTTTCTTCAACTTCAAGATTTACAAAAAAGTTATGAATGAAGGGAAGCTTGTCTCCAACTTCAAGGCTAATGTAAAAAAGTAATAACTAAAGTGGAGTCCAACTGTTTATATTTGTAAAAAAGTATTGCGTAAATTCTTAAAAGTGGAGGGAGTCCCATAATCGGTTCGGGTCGGATTGATTTTGGCTTTTAGATTGAAAAACCAAAACCAACCCAACCAGTCAAGCTATTTCTATTTATAAATCGAGAATGACCAAAAATTTTGAGAAACTGACCAAATCGGATTGGATTGAATCGATTTGGTTCTTCTTGTGAACACCCCTACTGATCCTTGAATTTTTTTGGCATCACTTGAAGATTCATATTGAAGTAAGCTTTTATGTAAGCCATTGAACCAACTACTGATTATTGTAACACTTAAAAGTATTATGCATGTTTGAATTCCTTTTGTTGATGCTCTCTGTTTTTTTCTTTTGAATTTTTTTGTCTTACTTGCATAAAATGGCTAAACTGGAACAAAAATGACAGAAAAGATAAAAGAAAGAGAAATGCGCATTACAAGTAATCCGAAAGAAAAGAATTTATAAATACAATCTACCTTGATTTTGATCAATGGTCATTGATACTTCCTTCTCTGGTTCTCTCTCAAGGAAACTCCGCCCACAGAAAAGATAAAAAAAGAGAAATGCGCATTACAAGTAATCCGAAAGAAAAGAATTTATAAATACAATCTACCTTGATTTTGATCAATGGTCATTGATACTTCCTTCTCTGGTTCTCTCTCAAGGAAACTCCGCCCATTCTTTGCCCCTGCCGCCTGTACCTACCACCAGATGCTACAAAACCAGGACAAGGTCACTAAGTCTTTATTCGCCAACAGCCACCAAACAAAGCTAGGGATTGTTGCTATCGTACCTTGAATTTCCCCCTCACCATTACAGTCCTCCAATTCCACTTTCCAACCAGTTAAACACTTATACATCGCCTATAAAACAAGTTATTCTATGATGAATAGAAATTAAAAATTAAAACTCATCATTCACTCATAGAAGAAAAGGATGTGATTTTCCACAAGAATATTATATCATGATCGGAACCATCACATTTACAGATGTCCACAAATAGCTCTTACTGACCACTGACCAAAACTACAATCCCAATACTCCAACTTTACGAACATGCTCTAATACGAACCTGAATTGGGAAAAAGAAAACATAAAAATGAATAAATTAATGAAGTAAGTTTCACGCCCAAACCCTTTTCAGGAGCACATTCTGATACTCCCTGACTTCACTTGAACTATCATCATGCTTTTATTTTTTCAATTGGGAGGGAAGAATACTCATCGAAGATCAAAGAAAGGTGAATAAGATTCCATACAGGTCCTGCGATAGAAACCTTTAGATATCAAGCTAGTAAAGATTAAGTAAGATTGGTTGGGGGAAAAGTGAAATAGAAGAAATTTATCTGCGTCTTCACTCTTCAGTGAGCAATTCATTCATTTACGGAAATTACATCCGATGGAGTAGTAGAATCGTCACCTAGGCTAGGAAGGATGGGAAGGCGCAAAAAGGCGATATTGGTTGAAGCTGGGAACCACTTTATGATTGCTGCAGGGTGGGTGCAGATGCAACAATAGCGTTCGGACTTCGGAGAGAGGGAATGGGGAGAGTTGCCTTCATCGAAAAATCAGTGAGGAAATTGGGAGTTGGGACTTGTCTCCGCTCCGCTCTTGTTTCCGAGTTCCGTCCACCATGAACATGATAACAAGAGATTTACTATTTACTTTACTCATATGCTTGGATTGGATATTTCCGGGAAAATGAAAACGAGGTTCCACCGAGATTTGAACTCGGGTTACTGGATTCAGAGTCCAATGTCCTGACCACTAGACCATGGAATCATTACGGTACCCCTTCCCCTAATTTTCTTCATGTGACAAAAATTTATTTATTTAATTAGTTCTTGCGACTCCCAAAATGAAAGAAAAATCATAATGATTTTCAATGGTCGCACTGAACGGTCCTCTATCCATGTTAACATAGGGTTTCACTGTAACCAAAACAATATCAATTAACACACGGGGTTGGACATCTTGAATCTGAAAAGCAACCCTTGCATCTCAAATGAATTCCAGTTTCCAATTACCCTTAATAGTATAAGAAATGCATTCATACCTGTTGTCGCTCGGATTAGAAATTCACTCCTAAGATCCAGGGCAGAACCGAGGGACTCGAGGCACCGAGGACCAACGAGGCCGAAGGCCGGTGGCCGAGGTGTGCTGTCTCTCGGAGGGCTGAAGAGGCCAAAGGATAGGAGCTAAGGAGAGGTTCCTTGGAGGCACGCATGAGGCGTCTGAGAGAAGCGGGGAGGATGCTTTATAAGGAAGAAGATGTCAGAGATCTCGGGTGAAGATTCGAGGCAGAGATTTTGATGATCAAGTTAATATATACGCACAAAAAGAAGGGAGTCCAGTGTGGACGAGGGCTCAGACAAGGTCCCTCGCAAACATTAGGTCCCCAGTAATAAGAATACTAAGAGTCTCATAGGTTCTAAATCATTTACCTTGTGGGAGTCACTATGTATTTATACTTGGAGCCGTCTAGATGTAGTTGAACTCGAATGGCCCAGATGCGAGCCATACGAGGGGCAAGACGTAGTCGTCTGGCGAGGACACATGGCATCCCGCAATTGGGCCTGCAAGGTCTACAGAGTAGCCTTGCATGCACTGCAATGGATCCCGGCTAGCACCTGTTTGCTGGACACACGTCAGCCAAGTGTTGTCCCAGCAAGGCAAGCAAAGAATTAGGTGGAGTAACGTGTCATGCACAGAAAGTTCCCAAACAGCCAATGTTTAGGGGTTCAATTTGGATGGATACAGCTCAAACCTGGACCAATCAGGCCCACAATTTTCTAAACTCGGATTTGATTTTTGGTCCCCAAGCGAGGCGTGGACCCAAAACCCCAGGCTTTCCTATTTTTTGGGGTTGGGTTCAGGTCTCTAAGCCTGAGCCCGGTACCAGCCCAAATGCCCAATTACATATTTACATGCAGATGTATGTAGATATAGTTATGTATATACACACAAACAAGCATATATAATGCATGTGTGTTTCACGTGAGAATGTCTAATAATGTATCAAACTAATGAACAAAGATAAATAATGGAAGCATGGTGTGTTGGCGGATTTAAATTTTGTATTCCATTATCAATAAAAATATTTCTTCTTTTTCAAAATATTTTTATTTATCATATTTATTTTTATAATATACGACATGATGACCCACATGATTCAAAAGAAAGAATGCTTTCATTTTTGGGTGGTTTTAACTTTTAAATTTCTATTACATTTCAATAATGAACAAGAATAATTCTTGTGCATGACATCTATCTTTGTATAATGTCACAAGTGTATAATATTAGAGAAGTGTCAAGCTTTTTCTAATATTTTGTATTTTTATTATTTTAACAAAAATAATAAAAATAATTCTTGTATGCCTTCGCAAATAGTTGGGTTGCTCCATTGCAACCTAGATGATGAGTATTCAAATCTTAGCAACAACCTCTCTGTGTATTACAGGGGGGTAAGGCTGTATATATCTATCCCTCTAAAACCCCATATCGGCGAGAGCCCTATGTATTGGGCTTAAATTTTTTAATTTTATTATTTAATTATGATATTATTGGTTAATCCATTTTATCCAAACACTTGGATTATTGACCTTGCACCTAGATGAAAAAAAATTATGTCACTTCTCTAGTGTCATGTGTTCATCATATTAAACAAAAATAATTGTAACAAATAAAAATAATTTTATAGATATAAAAATCTAAAATAATTGTAAAAAATTTTGAAAATTGTGCACACTTAATCTAATGTTGTGATTTTTTTTTCTCTCTTTCCTTTTTAGCACATGCAAATGACTTTTGCGTGAATCCAAACTAAAATGGGCCCAATCTCAATCTACATGGTAAAGTACAAGAAACTTGAGTGATAAACACAATCTTACCTTACAAGTTTCCAGAAACAGATGAGTTTACGTAGAAAGAGAATGCGAAACAACATTTTTTTTCATAAATAAGTTTCAAACAACGTACCTGTTAGACAGTGTATGCCCTTAGCTCCAATCAGAATGATGTACATTATGACATTTATTGTAAATGAATAGAATACATATTTGATTCATGTTATTGTGGTGTATTTCTGTGTAATACCCTTAAACTGGACACTTATGAGACTCGTGTTAGTTTAGAATGTTCACAACTGTTGAATAAGTTGGGGGAGATTTATCCTGCCAAGGCTGACATTGATGTGCCGCCAAATTGGTTGGGGTAGCCTGTCTCAACTGCCAGGGTGAGACCCGAGGTACATGTAGTGTAGGTTTACTTGAAACCCTGAACCAGACCATATTTCCAATATTGCCCTGGACCTTGGAGATTGATGGGCAAAACTGGAAAGTTACACCTGACCCCTAGACTCGATTATGATACTGCACTAGGTGTCGGATTG